CCACTTGTGATACGCATTGACAAAGACCTCAAGGTCGTTTCGATGCACAAATACAGAGAAAAACCATTACTATATCAGGGATGGCCAACAGGTCGATTCTGAGATGAATTCAAGTCGATCGCGACACCTTCTCTCATATTCCTTGAATTTCTTAATTTTTTTTTCTGTTTCATTGAATTATTGAATAGACATAATAATAAAATTGATAGAACGATAGTTATAGTAGTAATAATTTAAAAGTGATAATTTTTAATCAAATAATATTAAAATACATGTTGTGTGAAACTATGAAATTAAACGTTAATAATACTTATTAATATCATAAATAAAAAGTAATAAAAGTAGTGAACCACGCATGCACGTATAATATATTTTTTGTTTATTGGCAAGCTTTTTTTTTTTTGTCGATCGTGACAACTTATAAAAAACTCAGAGGTCGATTACAAGTCTATTCAAGTTGGCCACGCCTGAACCATATAATAACGTGAACGATATGGATAATGCCAAATAATGCCAAGTAAAATCGAACGAGCGTGTTAAAAAAAGATAGTGAACAGTTACTTAACACTTTGGGTATTTTTATTTCTGTCCTCRTAGATTAGAAGCCGTATCGTATTTACTTTTCAATGCATAGCCTGGCATGAATGGTCGTAAATCTCTGTACAKTATATTTTATAATTTTGTTATAAACTATAATTATACTATTTATTATTAAGTTCTTTAGAATTATCTATATGTATGTATACCGCACAAAGTTTTACTTAAAAAAAAAAAAGGTCGACTTCCTATAACTATTGATCCAGTGTAACTGTACAATACGTGATGTAGGTATATGCAATAACAATATACATAATACAAAATTAATGTTGTACAAGTCAGTATCAGCGTAAATTGTGATTTGTGGTTATTTCTCAATTTCATTTTGTTGTATTTTCGAATTAGGTATAATAGGCATATAAATACTTTTATTAACGTTACTCTGTAAATTTGTTTCGCTCAAGATTTCCAATGAAAGATTAAAATCCGAAAGGCCTTCGCTGGTTGGTTCATACCTCAAGACACTCAAGCTAATATATATATATATAATTATAAAAAATAACATCATTTATGCTTCTTGTACTTTTTTTGTGTACAGATTGTATTAAATCTAGATAAAAAATGAAAAAAAAAGATTAAAATAATGAATATAATAGTCATGACGATGACTATGATCGATTTCAAACATAATATGAGTTCAATTTTATGTATTTGACACTACTCTAAAAATCATAAAAACAAATAAACCAGTTATAAGTGGAGAATTATATTGTATACCTACGTAAATAAGTTAATAGAACACTTTTTATTTTTTAGATGTGATGAAACTCTCTACAAACAACTTTCTGTGATCATTTTATTTAGATGGAGCGACTATAGAAAATGACAGGAAGACTGAATAAAATACAGTTCAGAATCAGAAAAATRACATTGAAAGATGAGAAATGGTTATGAAGGAGTAAGACAAGTATGGCTGACCTTGCTAAATTGGTGAATAGTTACCAARGACGAAAGAAAACAACAATAAAACAACATTTTTCATTGTAGCTGTTAATTTAACAATAATTAACATATTTATGTATTCTCCATTTATTTTAAACATTCTCGCTCRGGTTAAACTGCATAGTGAGAGTYTCAATTATTATATTATAATTTATAGTTCGATATGGTTGTTAGGTATTGTTTATAATATTTGATTACCATTGRAAATTGAAAAATACGTTATSGTTTAGAATCTTTTGCATAATATARAACTATGGAAATTTGGTACGTATGAAAAATATCTAAAAACCAATTAAGCAAAATCCAAACAGTATATTTTCACAATATAATATTTTTTTTCTCATAGTTTCCACTAAAATCTCGTATAGTTTATTTATGTTTTATACACTTAAAATTAATAAAGTTACCTGAAAATGGTTTTAAAAAATGTTCTAATTTGAATGTTTATCATGTTTAACAAGTCAAAATGCTATGTTTATTAGAATAGTATTTTTGGATAATTCGTTCGTCGAGATATTCAAATGAAACAAATAGTGTGGAAATATGTATCGTGTTTGGAGACCTACAGAATTTTCAGTATGCAACTTACACGCAATACTYGAATTTAGTTATTTGAATATTTTAAAACGCTTTTGCATTGTCACTCGAGTTGAAATAAATTCAACGCTTGTGCTTTACGAGTAATATGTGTTACAAACGTATATAGAACATTTTAAATTAGTGGCGCAATGGGATTTCACCCCACTCCTCACATTTCTACATTCCATAAATTTGCATATATAGAGAAAATTAAAACTATGGACAATCAGTACACAATTCAGATAGGTATTAAAATAAAATTTTTACAAAACTATTATAAAAAAAAAAAAAATGTCAAATACCAATAAGTATAGGTACCTATTATAGATTGTCTCATATATCATAATTCAAAGACTTTACATTATAGATTACAAGCAATTATTTTATTTTATTTTTATAGTTAGCCATTGTTCATTACTATAACACACACACACATAGGACCTTAACATTTTAATGTTCTATTGATTAAAACAAATTAAACTAAAAAAGAACAAAAAATGTTTCTAATTCTTAACTGATCCATATTATGTGATTTCAATTATTGTTTTTTCCCGAAAAATTCTCAGATTTTCAACTTAAGAGATAGTTTTTGGTTGAAAATTAGATAAATAATTATTAAATGTATTTTGCGATACTTCAATAATTTCATGTTTTGTTTTCTGGATTAATAATAACATATACTTGTATAATTGGTACTATACATATAATAT